TTATGAATTGGCCCCAAACCTTACTCTTTCAGTTGGTTCAAATGAAAGAAGACAAGAGATGAGCTCTTGCTCTCTCCCACCCATGGCTCTCATGGAACAGCTGTTCCCTCCATTCCTCTTTCTTAGGAATGCCTTTCTGATTGTCCTGTTGACCCTCTCATCACCGGCTCCTTTCTGACTAGGAACAAGATCACTATGATTGCTGAGCCTTTGGAGAAGGGCCTCGCTGAGGACATAGAGAATGAAGTGGTCCAGATCACGTGGAACAGGTGAGAAGGGTGGCTCTGATTCCAGGGCTGAAGAGAGACAGGGACACCATAGCCTGTGTGCCGGGGCTTTAGTACCACCCATCCTTCTGGAAAGTGCTTTCATCTCCACCCTTACTAAGTCCTGAGCACAGGATGGGTGGGATGAGGTGATTGTCCTCTAGAAAAGGAAGGTCCATGACCCCAGGAGCCAGCCAACCACAGAACTATGTCTGATACCTCTGTTTTCTCCTTCCTTCAGGAAGAAGCTGGGAGAGTTCTTCCAGACCAAGTATGATTGGGATCTGCTGGCTGCCCGTTCCATCTGGGCCTTTGGGCCTGATGCCACTGGTCCCAACATCCTTGTGGATGATACCCTGCCCTCTGAGGTACAGCACTGATAGGAACTCTGTGTTGGCTGCTTAACTCTTGAGTGGAAGAAACTCCAAAATGCTCCCCTTTCAGAAGTATTCTGTGTCCTCTGATGAAAGAGTCTTCTCTCACAGTCTCACCACCTTCTCTTCCCTCTAAACTCTTGGGTTGTTGACGAGGTCACTGCTAAGGAGCCCTTATCTTTCTGTGCAGGTGGATAAGGCTCTTCTCGGCTCAGTGAAGGACAGCATCGTTCAAGGTTTTCAGTGGGGAACCAGGGAGGGGCCCCTCTGTGATGAGTGTAAGTCAACCTGTGCCTCCCCCACCCCAGTCCTCTAGGGTCCTCTCACCCAGATGCATGAGGTGAGATGGGCTCACTCAGCCTGGAGCCTGGCAGGGGAAGCAGCTTGAGGTACACAGGGCCATTCTGTCCTGGCCCAACTTCTTCCTTTCTCCCTCCCTCCCTGTCATGGTACCATCACTTGGTATATCCTGGAAATGAATCTATTACTAGACTGACATTGGCTTCTCATTCCTGAGAGGATCCAGCTTTGGGTATGTTTGAGAAGAAGTATGAAGAGGAGGATGGGATTGGAGTGAGTTATAGACCAGGAAAGGAGTCCTGGTGGTTCAGTGGTTAAAAACTTGGCTGCTAACTGAAAGGTCAGCAGTTTGAATACACCAGTGGCACCATGGGAGAAAGTCCTGGCAGTCTACTTGTGTAAAGATTACAGCCTCTGGGGTAGTTCTACTCTGAACTATAGGGTTGCTGTGAGTTAGAATCAACTCAGTAGCACATAACAACAACATAGACTAGAGTTGAACTTTGTGGGACCAAATGTGCAGTCTAGGAACGTATCTTTATCCACAACTACTTAGAAGCACACAAACTGCTAAGAAAGCTTTATGATACCTGAGCCTGACCTGAAACAAACACTGTTGAATGTGTACTTAACTTCTGACATCTGTTCAGGCCTGGCATATCCGATTAGAATTCCCACCTGCCATGTGGGGTGGTTGTTTTTTTGTTTTTCCATATCTCTTGTGGCTGCCAGATGGCTGCAGTGTAGCATGAGACCCCTTGCTTCTTTGCTGTGCCCACTGGCCAGCACCAGAACTCTTCTCAGTCAGCTGTCCCATCTCCTTTTCAGTGATTCGAAATGTCAAGTTTAAGATCCTGGATGCAGTAGTGGCCCAGGAGCCCCTGCACCGGGGTGGGGGCCAAATCATCCCTACAGCCCGGAGAGTCGTCTATTCAGCCTTCCTCATGGTAAGTGAGTGGGGTTGTAGGGCATGGGCCTGCTCAAGGGGACAGTGGAGGACCGAGCCTGTGGAGCCTCTAGACTGCAGATCCCCAGCCTTCCCTTTACCCAGGTTATGGCTCCACAGCTTTTCCCAAGTTAAGGAATCCTTCCCATCTTTGTTTTTTTCTAACTTTAACTTTTTACTGTGATTTGGGTAGAATTTTACAGAGCAGATTCGTTCCCATTCAATAGTTCATATGCATTTTGTTTTATGACACTGATTACAATCCCCACAATTTAACAGCTCTCTTCCCACTCCCTCCCTTTGGTTCCCTTTCTCTGTCCCCTTCTTTCATATGCATTCTTGCACTCTTAGCTTTCTCTCTGTGCAAATGCTGCCCATCTGATCTCCCAAGGTTGATTGTTATAAGGAGTGTGTCTCCATGTTGTTATTGTTCAGCTCATAGACTTGTCTGTTGTTTGGCTGAGAGTTAAGCCATGAGAGTGGAGGCACGCGCTCTTCTTGCTCTGTTGCAGGCCACACCTCGTTTGATGGAACCTTACTACTTTGTAGAGGTACAGGCCCCTGCAGATTGTGTGTCTGCTGTGTACACTGTCCTGGCCAGGCGCAGGTGAGCGGCCCCAGTTACATGAGGGAAAGTGTTGGGAGCAAGAGCAGGGCAGGAAGTCACTTGGCTGTCATGGGGAAGAGAGATTGGCCTTTATCACCCTCTCCTGTCCACTCTCGAACATTAGCTTATTTCTCGGAAGGAAGTGGAAACAGGAATGGGGCAGTCTGCAGCTTTACTGCAGATTAAAATTTGAGATTCCTTTCTTGGGCCCCGCTTCTCAGAGAGCTCCTGGGGGAAATGCTGAAACATGTCAGTGATGGGGCCTTGTCCTATCCACGTTCTAACTCCTGTCTTCTGCCCAGAGATTCCTGCCCCTTTGACTTACATTGAGCCCCTCAAGCCTTTTCTGCCCTCTGTAAAGCATTCTTGGTGGTTTTGTCTTTGATGGTATTCTGGGTAGAGGTGCCTTTGGGGGAGATTTCCTCCTATTTTTGGCTTCTACAGGACTAGGGACTCAGCCTTGGTCTGCTTCTTTGTCTCAGGGGTCATGTGACTCAAGATGCACCCATTCCAGGCTCCCCTCTCTACACCATCAAAGCTTTCATTCCAGCCATTGACTCTTTTGGCTTTGAAACTGATCTGCGGACTCATACCCAAGGACAGGCCTTTTCCCTGTCTGTCTTCCACCATTGGCAGGTGAGAAAATGGTACAGGCTGACTATCTAGGCCTTTCACCTCTTCAGGGCTAATTCCTTTCTGACTTAATTCCTCTTCCAAGCTGTGGCAGTCAACAGCTCCAACTTTCAGCCTCCTAAAACGGTCCTAATGCTAGCCTTGAATGCTCAGGGAAGTCTGCCCTGACTATCTGAAACCCTTTGCCTTTCAGATTGTACCTGGTGATCCACTGGACAAGAGCATTGTCATCCGTCCCCTGGAGCCACAGCCAGCTCCTCACCTGGCCCGGGAATTCATGATCAAAACCCGTCGTAGAAAGGTATGTGTCCCTCAGACCCATCACTATCCCTCAGCTACCAGGGGTCTCCTTAAGAGTTGAATATCTCTCCATTTTTCAGACTCGTGTTTCCAGGGCCAGTAGACGGAGAAGCGTTTACTGCACCATGTAGAAATACAGCCTGTAGAATCCTCTGACAACCAGACCTGGGTCCAATCTGACTGGGGAAAGAGGGCTATCTCTCTTGTGAGATACTCTCAAGGCATGACTCCTATGGCAGTCAGCTGGGCCTCTGTCCCATCCCCAGCAGCCTCCCACTCTAGCACTGAGCTCAGCTGGCCCCCAGCTCAGATGGCCACTACATGGGGCTCATTCTCCCATTTGCCCCACTGTCTGCAGGGCCTGAGTGAAGATGTGAGCATCAGCAAGTTCTTCGACGATCCTATGTTGCTGGAGCTTGCTAAGCAAGATGTTGTGCTCAATTACCCCATGTGAGCACACGCCCTCCTCACAGCCCACTCCCTGCCGTGGACTGCAGCTCCCAGACTTGAAGCTGGGACATGCGTGGCTTGGACTTGATGTTGTCACAAGACATCTAGGAGCTGCTGTGGCCTTCTTAAACAATCCAAGAACCTCCAGCTTAGAGCCCCAGTGAGGGAGGAGCATTTGGCCTCCTGATTCCTTCTGTGGCCTCTGCTTGGCTCCATTCCGAGGGAACAGAGAGAAGCTTGGGCTCAGGGAAGGAAAAGGGGATGGAAGTATTTAACCCCACAAGGTCCTGTCTTCAGGATTTAGATGGAATTTTATTTTTCTACAAATTTGACCTTGGACATAGTTTGTAAGTAAACAGAACATTCTGACCTCTGCCTGGCTGTGCTCCTTTCATCCCCACCCCTTCTCTCCCTGCCCTCTTCCCTCCAGCACAGTCTGGTCGTGGCACCTGGGTTCTGAATAGATGGGGTTTCCCATGTGGTGCCACTGTCTTTGTTCCCAGCTGCGGTCTCCTTCCTGCCTGGGCCCCAGGGAGCTAACCTGTGGTGGGAGGACCACCACCTCCTAAGTCAGTGTTCCTGTGAGTGTAGAGGCCTCTTCCCTGCCCCCACCGTTGGCATCCTGTCCTTTCTGGGTCAGAGCTGTCTGGGGTGGCTTGGCAGTCAGTGGGTTTCTAGGGTCAGAGGTCTGCTAGGACTGATGCCTCTTCCTCATAGGACCTAACGAAAGAATCCAAACTCGTTGCCAATGAATCAATTCCAATTCATGGTGACCCTATAGAACAGAGTAGAACTTCCCCCATAAGAGTTTCTAAGGCTGTCATCTTTATGAAACGAGACTGCTACATCTTTTTCCCTTCGAGCGTCTGATGGGTTCCAACTGCAGACCTTTGAGTTGGCAGCCAAGTGCTTAACCACTAAGCTACTGGGGCTCCTTGTTTGGGACCACTGCTCCTGAAGAATCTTTCTTGCCTTGGGTTTCGGAGTTAGAACTAAGTGTTTGGTCCTGCCACCCCCTCACTCCCCCGTGTATAGAAGAGACTTGATTTTCCTCAAACTACTTTATTAGGAGCATAACTGGGGTTGGCTTAAGGGGGTCTGACTGCCTGGCCCCTGTGGGAGTATTACTTGTCCCCAGCATTCTGTGCTGTTCTCTTGGTGTAGTCTCTGTACATCGTGTACACAGCACCTGTGTGAGGGGAAGGAAAAGTGCACTTTGGCATCAAACCCTTTGCCCTCTTCTGTGTAGCCCAGGTGTTGAGGGATAACACTGCAGAGTGTCAGGTGCTCTACTCCAGCAGCTCCCTTGAGAGTCCCCTCTCATCCTTCTGCCCCAGGTCCCAACAGCTGCTCCAAGCACCTGACCACACAGCCTAAGGAAATGTCTGGCACGGTTCTCTATAGTTCCTATCTGACAGTTCACAAAGTACTTTCACCTGTATCCTCACTGAGAAACCTGGAAGGTAGGCAAGCCAAGTGTGGTGATCATCATGTTGGACTTGGGGGAATGGGGTCAGGGCGAAGAATTTGACCACACAACTAGCATGTCCCTGCCTTTTGATCCAGAGAAGAAGAGGAATTCAGCGTAAGTCCTGCTGCATGATTTTCCTCACCTCTCAGGCAAACTGTCATGACACAGACTGCAAACCATCCCCACGGGACTGAGGCAGGAGATTCAGACAGAACCCTGGAATTGGCTTCCTGTGAGGGCTCCACCAAGTACTCAATGTGGAGTCAAGTATAAGGAAGAGGAACTTAAATCATGGTCCTTTAACTGTTGGGACTCACAGCCAGGCTTTGCCTGATCTGTTTTACCCTCATTCTCCTATGAGCACCTCATCCCCACCCCCCACCAAGCTACTCACCCAGCATGATTGCACCCACAGCACAGGCTTGGGCTGCCACTCGGGTATGAATCAGATGTATGGACATCTTGGTGGGACCACGAGCCTTGAGCCGGTAAATCCTGTATGCTGCCACCACCAGGCAGCCTCCCAAGCCTATAGGCAGAGAATGACCAGCAGGCCTCAGCCACCAAGCGTGGTGGCTCCCTGATAAAAGACACCTCACTAGGCAGGCTGGGCATCTGGATAAACACCCGCTTTAGAGCACGGGTGGGGTGGGGTGGGGGTATCTCTGGACTATTAAGTCTTTCCCTCAGTGACATTTCCAAGGTGGTTGCTTGCTTCCAATGATGCCTCCTCCCACATACAAATGGCCCAGCCTCGTAATGCCCCCACCTCCAGTAGCTCTGCTTTGGGCCCTTCTCCAGCCACTGCTGGCTCCCACATCCTTCCTGGTACAGCTGTTTTCTGTCTCTCCCAGGGCCTTGCGGGACAAAGCCCTGGGGACTTCAGACTGCTGCTCCTCTGACCCTTCCCATCCTGATGCTGGTGTTGGCATGCCAAGTTTCCTGTATCCCATGTACTCACTCACTTGGCCCCCACCTCCACCCAGGTCTTCCTCATTTTATTGTAAGGGTGCACCCCTTGGCACCTTCTGTGCCTTTAGTTTACTCCTAACTGTTGATTGTTCAGTGGGTGGGGCTATTTGAGTTCTCTGACCTCTGCTTCCTACTCCTTCAGAAGGCCTAGCGGACATATTCTCTCTGAAAGAAGGCTCCCTGACCCCCCCAATCCTTCCTTTCCCCACTCACCTATAGGCACCAGCGGAGACTCCCTGGTCTTCCTCAGGAATTTCTCAGACACGCTGTCTTCACCCTCAGGTGGCACCCACCAGCCTTTGTTGGCAGACATGATCCTGCCCCCTTCCGTTAGCAGCTGGGGCCCCTTGGCTTCTGCCCAGTCCTGGAAGGAGGCACCCCACAGTTGGAACTCCGATTTGCCTCAGCCTGGGGTAGGAGAGAGGTTACCTGCTAAGACCTTCTCTTACCATGCCCAACACAGCTTCTGCTTGGCAAGATGTCCCAAGTGTCTTCTCTCAGATGGCTGGGCCACTAGCGCCATTTCTCTGTCTCTTCTTCCTGATGTCTGCCTCTTCCTCAGCTGGTTCTGACTGCACTGTTTTCTCTGTGTCCCCCTCCTCCACGCACATCCCTATGGGTGTAATCCCCAGGGCTAAGAAATGCGGCTGGAAAAATCCTCAGATGAGGGTGGAGGAACAGACCTTGAACTTTGGGGCTCTCGCTAGCCTTGGGACTGCTCTGTGGTGTTTGTCGTGAGGGAGCTACAGAGCAGGATCTGTGGACCCAAGGAACCAGAGCCATCCCAGGCAGCACCACAGCCTTGGCCACCAGATCACAAGAGCTAGAGATTTAAATGTTTAGACACTGATGTGTGTGCAGTTCAGCATAGGTTTTGCATATAATACTTAGGAACAAATTGTCTTCTGGTCCCTGAGCTGCTACCCTGTTTCCAGGTCCTTCACCATTTGCAACCCCTCACTCCTGGGCTGGTGACCCCTGTTCCTCTTCTTGCTAACTCCTGTAAATGTCTGCTCTGGTTAGATGAAGTCCCAGAATCCTATCCTCAGATTTGGGGTTCTGCCTTTGGAGTGCCTTCTCCATGTCCAACCCGAGACAACTAACTCCCTGCTTGAGTTAATTTCTAGTCTTAGTTGCCCATCTCTCCTGGAGGGGCGTGAGCTGCTGGCCTCACAGATCCTCAGCATGCTGGTGCTTACCCTAGGAGATGACTATCGGTGGAGCATGGGCTGCCGCGCCAATGCTCAGTGGCTTCTGTTCTGAACCGGCAAGAGCTGAGGATGGAGCTGCCACTATGGGGTCAGGGAAACAGTGACTTGGCCTTTATGGAGACTTTGAAGTCAGGGATGGGGAGGGGAGGAGATAGGACAGGGCACTGGTCTTAACCCCCCATCTGCTGAGTTCCAGACTGAAGCTCCAGGCCCTGGGAAGTAAAGGGAGACCAGATGGAAGGGAGCCAAGAGCTGGATCCAGTCCTCCAGTTCTTGTGGACTTAAGTGGCTGGGTCAGAGATGGGCTTGATGTGGAGAACTGAGATGAGAGCATAGAGGCTATGATGGCCGAGATCCTGGGTTCTCACCTAAGTTACTCTGCCTCAGATGTGCTTATGAACAAGGTGGATGTAAGTAAAAGACCCCAGCTGTAGAAGGCAGGCTCTCTGGGCCTGCTCTCCGTCCCTTCAAGGAGATGCTTGCTGAACGAAGGAGATGTGCCCAGGAGTTTGAGACAACAGGGGCTTCTCCATATCCCTTGATGTTACCCATGGGGATGATGCTCATTCACATACAAGACTGACAGTGACTGCTCTGGTTGCCTAGTGCCACTCTGACAGGAATTTACCACAAATGGGATGGATGGCTTTAACAAACAGGAGTTTATTCTTAAAATTTTTGGAGGCTAGTAGTCTTAAGTTCCAAGTGCCAGTCTCTAGGGACTGGGTGAAAGCCTCTCAATCTTGGGCTTCAGCTCTGCCTCTTGCTCCTGGCCCACTGAAGCTAGAGGCATCTCTTCACTCAGGCAGCTACTGGCTGCTGAGGCTAACAACCCCAAGGTCGACAAAGAAAATGGCACAGTCCCAATGTTACCAAACAACATAGCAGGCCATTGATTCAAGTCCATTGAAAGTCCCAAGGTTGGCAGAGCATGGCAGGCTGCTGAACAACAACATGGACACATGCATGGTCCAAGCGTGCCATAAGCTAGAGACCATTCCCCAAGGCTTCTCCTTATATACAGGAAGCAGCAAATATTCTTAAGGCAGATACTCAGCTGCTCACAAGATTCCACCAATGGAGTTGATTACCAGTCTTATCATGGGGAATAATACATCCAGTGACCAGCCACTCAATCAGTCCCAGCCAAGTTGACACACAAACTTAACCACCACAGTGACCAACATTAGCCACATGCTGTACTAGACACATGTATTCCAGACTTCATTTATCCTGTAAGGTCACAGTTTGCTCATAGTCAAAGGGCCTGAGATTCAGAGCAGCTAAATGACTTATCCAAGGATCTCGGCTAGTAAATGGCTTTGTCATGATCTGAACCAGGTCTGGCTGGCTCTGAAGTTTGAGGTCCTAACTGCAATACTAAGCTGCTTTCCGCAAGTCAGGCCAAATTGAAACCCTCTCCAGATTGACACTGAAGCTTAGGAATGCTAATCAATTGTGGCACCCTTGATTAGAAGTACCTACTCCCCAAGCAACACAAATACCAAGATGTGCTATGGAAGTCCTGTTCTATTCCAGCCGTTCATTCCTTCCTTAGGTTATCCTCAGCCTTGTATGTTTGTCCTTGTGGTAGTTAAGGTTATATATCAACTTGGCTGGGCCTGGTTTTGAGTGGCTGGGCAACTGGATGTAGTGATTCCCCATAATGAGACTGGTAATCAGCTCCATGGTGGAATCTGTTGTGAGCAGCTGAGTAGCTGCCTTAGGAAAGTGGTCTGCTTCTAGTATATAAGAAGCTTTGAGAAAGGCCTTGAGATTTTTGGCACATCTGGATCTTGTGTTTGGCTGACTCTTCATCTCAGTGGCCTGCCATGTTATCTGCTGATCTTAAGACTGTTTCTGAACTTGAACTAGTGGCTCGCTCTGTTGCTTGATCATTTTGGGACTGTGCCATTTTACTTGTCGACCTTGGGTTTGTCAGCTTCAGCAGCCAGCAGCTGCCTAAGAGAAGCCTCCAGCTTCAGTAGACTGGGAGTAAGAGAGCAGAAGCCCAAGGTTGCGGGGCTTTCACCCAGCCCCTAGAGCTGGCACTTCAAGCTCAGACTTCTAGCTTCCTAAGTTGTAAGAGATTAGATCCCTGTTTGTTCAAGCCATCCACTTGTATTTTCTGTTAGAGTGGCACTAGAGAACCAAAACAGTCCTCAAGGGGCTTTTCAGCTCTGGAAATTTGTCTAGCAGCTGATGTCTTTCTCTTTTCGTTCCCCAGCACTCAGTGCTCTAGGACAAGACCCAGAGTCACAGCTGTTCCCTAGGGCCTCTGCAGGTCCCCAGTGTCCATGGGAACTCTCCTCCCAGTCTTTCACACACACCCTCCTGCATTGCCTCTCCCGATGCTTGGTGGTCTAGGCCAGAGGTGGTGGTTGCTAAATGCTGAGGAATTGATTCCAAGTCATAGTGACCCCGTGTGACAGGGTAGAACCACCCCATAGAATTTTCTAGACTATAATCTTTACAGAAGCAGTGCCAGAGTTTTTCTCCCATGCTGGGTGGATTTTGGTTAACAGCCAAGTGCTTAACTGTTGTGCCACCAGGGCTCCTATGGCAGAGGTCAGGGCATAGAAATGTCTGAGTGAGACAGCAGGAGTTAGAATCAACTCCCAGTCCTTTGGGGGACAGGGATGAAGCTATGGAGGGTGAAATTCAACTCATTGAGGTTATGTTGATGCTCCCATAGCATCTCCAGAGCACAGAGCTGAGAAAAATAACAGTTGTTATGATTTATTGAGGTGCTCTAGTAGTGTAGTGCCTAAGGCATTTGACTGCTAACCAGAAGGCTGGCGGTTCAAACCCACCAGCAACTCCCCAGAAGGAAGGTTGGACAATCTATTTCCTTAGTGATACCGCCTCGAAACCCATGAGTTGAGTCCAACTCCACGGCACGTAACAACAATGTGATTTATTGAGCACCTTCTATAGGCCAAGAAGTGTGCTGATTGCATTTTGTAGATGATTTCATCTAATCCTCACAATAACTCAACGAGGTAGGTATTGTTATAATTCCCATAAAGAAAACTGAGGCTCAGTTAAGTATCTGCCCAAGTTCACTGTGACAGAAAAAGGACCAGACTTCTAACCGTTCCTAAAATCAATTCTCACTGCTCTGGACTTTCTTGGGAGAATGCATGTAAAGTGAAGGGGAAGTCTTGAAATAAAAGGAATAAAACAGCATTTTATTTGAAAAGCTTGTGAAGACACAAACTTCAAGCCACAGGTCTCTGTAGCATCCTGCTTTAATAGGTAAAATAAAATTATGATAGCATAAATGTGTGTTCAGGTGCTAAATCTTTAATAATGTAGGATTTAAGCATTTCTGTGTTAGTAATTTGCTTAGGAAACCTCTTTTTCTTTTATATCAGTTAATAGAAATTCTTATTTAGAGGGGTCTAAATTAATGGTACAGATAGTAAATGAATTGAGAGCTGAGACCAGAGAGAGATATGGAATCAACTTACCACCTGATCCCTCTCTAAATAATTCCACTCAGCCTCTTGGAGTCTACTTCCTTATCTGTAAAATGGAGGCAGTGTCTACCCACAGGATGATTGTCAGAATTCCCCAGCACACTGTCTGTTCTTTAATGAGCAAGTGGTTGAGAGGGAAGTGGAAAGTCCCTGACAACAGATGGGAAGGTTACTGTGTTCTGGGTGGTCCCATAGCTCGCTGTTTCTCCCCTGCCTGCCCCTATCCTGACCTTTCTAGGCTTCTCCACCCCAATTCCAAACCTCAGGCACTTTCTCCCTGTTGTGTTGAGGGAAGGTTGGAGGCGGGACTAGGACCCAAAGAACTCTCAGCACAATCCAAGGCACAGCCCAAGGGAACTGAGTGACCAGACAGAGGAGGAACATTCAGCTTTTGCCTTCAGGTAATTTCCCCACAGACCTGTGAGTGAAGTGGGGGCGATGAAGAATGAACTGAACAAGGAACAGGATGCTCAAATTGGGATTGGGACAAGAAGGTTGAATGGCTGAGGACCATCATGGGGAAACATGAGGCTATACAGGAGGCTTGAGAGGCAAGGAATGGGGAACAGGAATAGGCAAGGCAGTGGGAGGTGTGACTCCCCCTCCCCTTCTAAAAACAG